GTGTGTGTGTGTGTGTGTGTGTGTGTGTGTGTGTGTGTGTGTGTGTGTGTGTGTGTAAAGATGTTGAAGGCTACATGTGTTACCTTTATTTACTCTTCAAATCATCTTTTCTGTTTTTATTCTCTTGAAGCAGAGGTTTGTGGTCTATACCCCTGGCTGGCCTTGAGCTCAAAGCTCCTCCCTCAGCCTCTCAAGCCTTGGGATTGTGAGTCTGCCCTAGTATCCTGTTGTATACTCTCCTATCATAAGGATGCCTTTCGTTTACAGCACCCAAGGAGTGCTAAGGATTTAAGAGTTTGTTGTTGTTTTGTTTGTTTGTTTTTAACTAAGACATTTATTCAAGAGTTTTACTCTTCATCATTTTCTGACTAACTACAGTCAGGTTACACCCTGTAACACCAGTCTCCTATTAAACAGTGTCTCACATCTACAAAATAGAAGCTTATACTTAGGTGATAAAGAACCAGCCTGCCTCCATCTTAGACTTAAAAGCCATCTTACAGCAAAACCAAACCAGGTTCATTCCTGTTTATGATTAAACCTGTTTCTCAAAGATTGGGCTATGCCCCACCTGTAGTCTTAAGGACAAACAGTTCTATACTGCCTATTCCAGGAACGGCAACCATGTCTTTGTTTCAAAAAGTTAATAACCATCTTGCAAACCTACCTTTGCTTCAAAAGGGTTGTTATGACTACCTGTTGTTATAACCACCCTGCAAATAGGTCGTAATGACTAACTTGTTATGCTTATGTTCTGCTCCTATAACCCTGCCTACTTTGCCTGCCAAATCACCCATTTGGACACCCCCTACGTCCTATTCCTAGCTATAAAAACCTGTCTTCCTCCCATCAATACTGACCTCTCAAACCCCACCTTAGGGGATGGCAGCTCATTTATAAGAATAAAAAGGCATGCGTTCATTGCCTGCTTTATTTAATTTGGCCCTGATGATTTGGGTCGGTGATCTCTTTCTCCACCCACTTTTGAGATTAACAGTGGACCAGTCCTAATGTGGTAATCTGCAAAAAAAAGTTTATTCTCCTTCTTGGGTGGGGTGGGAGCTACGGATTATTGTAGAGCACGTTGCATTTTTCATTGTCTCATTTAAACCCCACAACTCCACAGGGTCAAGGTCATTTCTCCAGGATAAGAAAAAGTTAACTTGGGAGACACTAAATGACCTTCTCCAAGGTCACCCAGTTTGGATGAACCCACACTGAACCGCAGGACTTCGGGAGCCACAGCCAGTCCAGTTTCTCAGTTTCGTCTAGTCTGCTCAATCTCAGGAAACTAGTTCTGCAAGAAAGGGGCAGCACAGAAGAGAAACGTGTGTAACTCAAAAGATGCAAGACAGGAGCACTGAAGAGCACGCACGGGCAAAATACGGGTAACTAGGGGCGTGGAGGAAGCCTGGGCAGAGGCTCCGCCCCATCTCAGACTCCACCCTTCTTCCTCCCCTTCCTGCCAGGTCGCGATACGGCGTGCGCAGGCGCACTTCTTGAGCCTGAAGGTCAAACTAAAGCGGGCAGCTCTCAGAGCCGCGCAGGCGCAGATGTGCGCTGCCGGTCGCCAAGATGTCGGGTTCCAAGTATAAGCCTGCGCCCCTGGCCTCTCTCCCCAGTACCCTCGACCCCGCCGAGTATGACGTGTCTCCGGAGACCCGAAAGGCGCAGGTCGAGCGCATGAGCTTAAGGGCCCGGCTTAAACGGGAATATCTGCTTCAGTACAACGACCCCAAACGCACATCGCACATCGTGAGTGGGGCCGGGCGGGACTGTGGGCCGGGGCAGCCGCATCTCGCGTGGGCACACGCGGGGCCGCCCAGCTCCAATCCGTGTGCTGGACACGGGCCCCTCGCCCACACAGCCCTTGGCCCTGTGACCTCGGCCGCAGGCTCAGTGGCCAAGCGGATGGGCTCCGGCTGCAAACCCAGCTGGCCTTGCATCCTGGCTGGACGACTTCCCTCCTGGTGTGGAGAAAGTGGTTAAGCTCTGCATCGTTCTCGGCTTCCTTGTCTGAAACATGGCTGTAACGTGGTCCTTCGGATCTCCCGAGGCAGAGTAACACGTGACCGAGCTAGCACAGTGTCTTCCTTGTAAAGGGCAGGTTCAGGCCCCGTACTTCCAAAATGTACAGCGTAAAAAGCTGTTTTGAGCTCCTAGCGCCCAAGGACGCTTCTCTCTCGTGAGAATGTAGGGCTTGTTCAAATTAAGTGTGTTACAGAACCTGAAGCTCGATGAGGCATCTGGCTTTGGAATCAGACCACATGACATCATATACTGACAAACTGTGACCCCTGGGAAATTTACATAATCTCTCTTAAAACATAGCTTTTTAATGTTCTCCTGGAAATGGTGTGCATTAGACATTGAGTTGTGAAGTCAAATGAGAAAGTATGTAACCTGTCAGTAAATTGGTATTTTAACAAGTGTGCTTTTAGACAGTTTCCTCTGTAAAAAGCTGTCTATCTCAAATGAAGGCTTTCCCACAGTTGTATACTCAGTCTCTCTGAATATTCGAAAGTTATGAGAACAACCAAGAGAAAGTTGCATTAAGTGGCCAGATACAGTACTAAGTCTCGTTTTGTTTTTCTTTTAAAGACATGTTCTCCAGGTGTCTCAGAACTCCAGGGCCCCAGCCACAGCTCCCCATCACTGCCACTTGCAAAGCCATACCTGGCCTGAAAAACATTTTTTTTCCCCATTTATATGTCACAATTCATAGAATTAAGCTGTGACTTTAAATTAAAGCTGTGTGTGGCTCTCTAGATGAGAAGACAGTATGCACAGGATATATTGCTCATACAGATATACCCAGTGCTCAGTTAGAACCCTAGTCTGTGTGACTCATAGTGTGGTCATCTACCTAGTTGGATATATATCTCCAACCAGCCCTTTGTTTACAGGGTGAAAGAGATACATCTGTTCTAAACTATACATATAGTTGCTTTTGATATGCTAGATAGTATGCTGTCATTTTTATTATTATTTATTTTCAAACAGGGTCTTTCTATAGATCCCTGGGTATCCTGGAACTCACAGTGCAGGCCAGGCTGGCCTTGAATCAGAGATCCATCTGCCTCTGCTTCCTGAGTGCTGACATTAAAGGCGTGCTCCACAACACCTGGCCTGTTTAATTTTTTTTTTTTAAGTAAATAGAATAAGGCCTCAGTCAAGTTTGAACCCCCAATCATCTGTCTTTTCATCTCTGTAACCCAGGGCAGTTTCCGTTTCTCATCTGTAGCAGAGTTAATAATACCTGCCTCTTTAGCTGTTCCATTAATCATTTACCAACCAATACTTGTGAATCCCTTTGTCTAATCCTTAGGAATGACTGATTTGGTCAGAAATAATTGCTCAGGATCTATTATGAGACTATTGGAGATGATGAGGTAAGAGTGTAAAGCCAGTTAAAGTCCCCGTCCTTGTAGAGCTAGCTAGCTGTCTGTCTAGTGGGATGACAAATATTAAGTACATTTAAAAATCCAAATCATTTAGTATGTGAGATAGTGTTAAATGACAGAGAAAAGTGCGAGTGTGATTAGCAGTGTGTGTAACAGGGAAGGAATCCCCCATTTGGAACATGGCATTGGGGGTTTTGTTTTTATTTGTTTGTTTTGTGGTCTCACATGGTAGAAAAGTACTCTACCACAAAGCTGCAATCCCAGCCTTGGAGCTGGACCTTTAAGTCAAGATCTGAAAGAAGTGAACCAAAACGTTAGTTTTGGGAGGAAAGTAGCAGGCTAGTTAGAGGAGACTGGAAGTATAAAGGCAGGAGTGTGCTTGGCAGCTTTAGCAGATTTCAAAATATACCAGAGAGCTAATTCAAACTATATTAGCCATCTTAGTACTCCAGAGGCTGAGTCAAGTCTGGGCCACATACACACACACTTTGTTTTTGAAGAAGCCATTGTGAATAAAATAGGGAAAGGTGAGGGGCCGAATGATAAAACAAGGTGAGGTCAAAGGGGCTCCTGGGACCTGATCACACAGGACCTTGTGTGGCACTGTAAAGATTTTTACTAAGAAGGGGCCCACATAATGGAGACTTCTATCTTAAAATCTGTGTCTCCTCAAGAATTGTCTGCGACAGGGTGAGGGCAGAAAGAAGTGAGCTAGGAGGCTTTTTACCACAGTTAAGTCTCTTAGTTAATGGTTGCTGTGCCTGTGGATGTGGAGGTGGTGAGAAGTGGCAGGTACTGGGTAGGTATTAAAAGTAGGTCTAGCCAAGTTCGTTGTCAGATGGAAGTGGTGTAAGACAAAGAGAATCCTAAGTTAAGGATGACTCCAAGCCACTGGAGTGCCTTTTACTAGAAGAATGGGAGAGGAACAGGTATGCTGGTGGATTGGAAAGGAATACTGACAGATCGGTTTGGGGGTGCCTGTTGGACGGTTATTTCCATGCCCAGGTGGGTAGAGGGTGAGTTGAACATGGAGGTCTAAGGCTAGAGGTAGACTGTTGGTAGCCATCAGCCTAGGAAGGCTTAAAGTCACGTGACTGGATGACTTGAATGGAGTGAATGTAAGACAGCCCAGCAAAAGCTGAGGCCCAGTATTAAAAGGTTGAAAAAAAATGGCAGGAAAAGAACAAACGAGCTGGGCAGAGAGCAGGAAAACCAAGCAGAGCTGGGCTCAGAAAGTCCAGTGAAGAAAGTCTTGAGGGTTTCACTCTGCCGGAGGCTGCCGACACCCCGGTGGACATTGCGTGGTGTCATGGAAAGTTGCCCTTCCCCTGTTCATTTATTTGTGTGAGTGTTTTGTCTGCATTTCTGTATGTGTACCACGTATATGCCTGGTGCCAGAGGAGGCCAGAAGTAGACATTGGGTCATTTGGAACTAGCGTTAGGGATGGCTGTGAGCTACCATGTGGGTGCTGAGAACTGAACCCAGGTCCTCTTCAAGAGCAACAGCTGACTCCTCAGCCACTGAGCCATCTCTCCAGGCTCTTTCTTGTGGTTTTGACCTTGAAGTTACTGGTACTTTTGTGAAGTGAAATCTCCGTTTCTGGGAGACATCTGGAAGATATTAAAGTGCAGAGCAGTGAGTGACTGATGGATTGAGAAGTCTCACTGTGTGGTGTTCAGATGCAGGCTTTAGCAGCGAGCAGATGCATTGATCCTTTCAGCCTCTGGCCTTCCTCTCTCCTGTTTCTGTTTGCGCTAGGGAATAATAAACAACAGTGCAGACCCTTCGGTCTTAGCGTGGAGAGGTAATGTTCGTCGTCGTTTCTAGAGCAGTGGAGGTGTTTTTAGACTTCCCTGGCTGGTAGCGAGCGATTGTCTGCACGGTTGAGGATTTCAACCTGATTGAAAGGCTGGAAGCATCTCCACCCAAGGTTGCTCTCCCTTTGAGCTGCAGCTGGTCACCTCAGGGTCAAATTGCTGTAATTTAGTTTAGTTTGAAATGTAAATGTGGAACTCACTTCAGTCCTGTCAATCCTGGCTGTTCAGGGTTCGTTAGCACCTTACACACTCACGCTGCATACCGAAGACTAAAGCTGATTTTATTTGCTTATTTTAATTTGTCAGTTAATTGGAGAGAATAATTTTGCAAAATCACTTGGGGATTTAGCTAATTAACTTTAATTATGTGTTTGGGGTAGATTTGCTATTTTTAGGAAATTATTTTAGTATAAATATATTAAATTATTTTTTTCTTAATCAAGATAAGCTGATTATTTTTGACAACTTTGACCTTTTTTTGCAAGAATTTTAATAGTGTGGAATGTAATAGTTTGTTTTTCAGACATCAGCCAAGTAAGTTTAAGAACGTACAGTTAATGGTGAAAGGTATAGAGCTCTGTGGCAGAGTTTATGCCTAGTTTACACAGTGCCCTTGGTTTGATCCTCAGCACCAAAAGAAAGCAAAAGCATATAATTCAGAGTTAGAGTAAGCCTGCTTTCATCTTCCTGCAAATGCTGTAGCAGGGAAAGCCCATTGTGACAGCATTAGAAAGGGTCCTAGACGCAAAATCGGAAGCCTCTGAGGTCTTTGTCAGGGCTGCGGTGTGGTTCTGATGGCCACTTTCGAGAGAGAAAGAGGAGAAGGGTAAGTCAGGGGCATTTGGGGGAGGGGGCTTCTCTGCCAGTTCAAAGTAAGGATTCCTAATCCTAAGAAATAGAAAGCTAGAAGAGGATAGAAGAATCTTGAAATTGTGCAGCATTTGAACAGAATCCTCCGACGGTTCTTTTTGACAACACGGTGGTGCACACCTATGATCCCAGCCCTTTGGGAAGCTGAGACACGCGAGGATTGTCATGATGTCGACTTGGGTTACAAAGCAGGACCTTGTCTCATAAAAACCAAAACCAAAAAAGAAAAGGGAAAGGAAAAAAGAGGGAGGCGAGAAAGAAAAAACGGTTTCTGAGTACTAGAAATGAGTCAGGTGGGAGTGTGGCCCAGTCCTGTAATCCTGCTCGGGGGGTGGAGGTCAGAAAGGCAGAGCTGAGGGTGGGTGTGCGTTAATGGGTGACAGAAGCCTCCCGTGCCCCTTCACAGCAGCCCCGATGAGTTCCCTTCTCCACGTGGCCTGAAGGTTTACCAGTCTGTCTTTGTATTCATTTCAGGTTGACCCTGCCTTGATTCGTTGGACCTATGCAAAATCAACAAATGTTTATCCTAGTTTCAGACCCACTCCAAAGAACTCACTTCTAGGGGCTGTGGCGGCATTTGGGCCCCTCATCTTCTGGTACTATATTTTCAAAACAGACAGGGTAAGTATTAGGGCCAGGTGTTGAGCATTGGTGTGGGAGGTCCCTCCAAGGTGCCAGCCGCCGCTCAGTGTTGTGGTGATTGTTCCTAAGCCCTCCTACAGGAACGGGCCTTTCCCTTTCCGTCTGGTACCTTCTTCATTCCTTTCAGAAAAGTTGGAGTTTTCAGTTTGATTTGATACTTCATTGAAAACCATGGCAGCCTATGGCTCTTTCAGATTTAATAATGTCTACTCTGCCCTTTAAAAAAAAGTAATAGAATGGTCAGTTTAAATTTATGAGATTCGAGTTTAGCTCATGATAATGTAAGGAAATTATAGTGTGGTTATTAAGCAAATGAATACCATGATAACTTTTTTTAAAGTTTATTTTCTCCTTAGAGGGTGGATAGACACTTTTGCTAAGACAGAATTGGAAAGGTCTCACTCACTACGTCACCCAGGCCAGCCTCTCATTTAAGGACTCCTGTCCCAGCCTCCTGAGCACTGGGATTACAGGAATGCGTCTGCCGTGTCTGGCTTCAAACTAGACTTCTTTTGGGACTCCCCTTCAGATAATCCTAGTGGAGTTCTTCAGTTTCGTTGGTGCATTTGTCAGAGATGATGCTTATCGGCCCAGTGCAACATATGGATCACTTGGCATGCTCTCTGTTGCTGAGCTCTTCGGGAGTTACTCTTTAGACGTAACCCTAACAATGGAAGCGGAGGTAGTCTGTGAGCCGCTGTCCTCAGAGGCCTGGATGCACTGTCACAGAGAAGGCTGCTCCGTTCTGGCTCTCAGTTCCTAGCACAGTCCCAGGACTGGTGCAGCCATCTTGGCTGGGGGCCACTCATGTGACCCCATCATCAGCCAGCCACCTGCTCTTCCCTCAGCTCTTGACTTGATGGGTGAACCCGCTGTGCTTTTCCAGGACTGGTTTGCATTTGCTACTTTGGAAGCTGGGCATGGCAGCTCACGCCTCTAATCCTAGCCCTGGGTAGGCTGAGGCAAGAGGATCACCGTGAGTTTGAGGCCAGCTAGGCTAATGACTGAGTTCCAGGCTAGCCTGGGCTGTAGGGTGGGATTCTGCCTCAAAACAAACAAAAACGACATCTGCTTTAGAAGGGCGCTATCCTTTCTCATCACTAAAAAGCAGCTCTAAGGGACTTTTGAATGGCGGTGTTCTCTCACTGTCCTAACTTTAGCTTCCTATTACCTCCTCAGAGTTCTTGGGATTAGGGGATGGGATTACAATTAAATTTTGGGAATTTTTATTCCTGATTTGCAGTTATTCCATGGCCATGCCAGAATTCATTGCTCTCTAATATTTTGTCTCTTTTTGTTTTATTCTCTACAGGACAGAAACGAAAGACTTATCCAGGAAGGAAAAGTGAACCGAACTTTAAAGATGTCCAATTAAGTTTGGCAAGGATGACTCTATTCTTGCATAAATAAATCTTCTGTTAATCACTGAACAGTTTCTTTTGTTCTTAGATTTATTGTAGAAGCATGTTAATACCTTGAAAACAGAGGCAAAGGTGGCTTGTGCTCAGAATCTGTGTGTCAAAAGGATGGCCAGGGTTTGCTGCATGTCATAGAGTCTTCTTTCCAAGACTCCAGCTCAAGGAAGAAATGTTTCTTTATTCATTTAATCTGTCCTTCAGCAAATGAGTGCTAACTGTGGCCGGTTGATATGTGTGCTGAGGGCACAGTGGCTGGAGGGCCATCGGGCACAGCTCTGAGAGCCCACTGGGCGGCTGAGCACTCGGTGTCTGGACTCTAATATCTAAGTCCCAGCCTTATGGGTAAAGGTAACGACGATATGAAACACTTAACAGAGACTTGGGAAAAGGAAGTCGTTCTCTTTGAGAGGTTCAGGGAGATGACATTTGATTTGGTCTCTGAAGATCCCAAGGCTGGCAGGCCTAACAGCAATATCAGAGGGCAAGGCCTGCTGGGTTTATCTGCCCTGGTGCCTCTGGAATAAGAAAGTGAGGAAGGAGGTCATACTGAGGAACAGACTGATAACAGCTAGGGGCATAGGCTAGAAATCAGCCCGGGATGAAGACTAGCTGGGATTTAGCCCCTCGAGTTCTTTTTATAGCATGGAGATAGTAATGCCTTTCACCTCATAAAGCCATGAAGATAAAAATGACAGAGTATCAACCAATAAAAATAACCACTACTGTGCTTTGTAGTTCAGTTTTGAAACAGTATAGTAACAGTGTCATCCACAAAGATGGTCAAATCCTGAGCTCTGGGTGAACAGCATGCTCTCTCTGCTTATTTACACAAGTGTCTTTGCTCTTAACTTTGAAAGCATGTGTAACTAATCTCTCATCTGTTCCTAGCATTAGCCCTCATTACCACAGTTAGCAAAGCCTGAGAGGCTTTGTATGCAGATAGTTAAGGGTTTGGGAAGGGTGAGATGGAAGGAGGGAGAAAGCCCATCACTGTGCTGTTGACCTCTTGCCTCAGAGTAATGGGCTTCCATCGCATTCTGAAGACCTCTGTGGAATGTACCCAGACTTTCTCCTTCAAACACGGCAAAAGCAAATGTCCTATCTCCAGTGATCAAGAGTTAACCTGGCAATTGCCTGTGTATGTCCAGGATGGGCATTCCTCCCCTGGCTGGCTGGGTCCATCAGGAAGGTGCTTAGGGCAAAAGCAAGTGAATGTAGCTAAGCCACGTATTAGCAGCAGGAACAGGACTGAGAAGGCGGATTGAGGATGTGAAGCAGGCACAAGTATATCATTTCTTCGTCTGTACCATGCAAATCTTCAACCTGCACACGTTAAATAACGACTATAGGTGATGGCGACGTAACAATCTACAAAACAGTATGGGATGGGTAGTGGGACAAGCGGAGGTCCGCACTACTACAGCTGGCCTGGGGAGGTAGCTGGTGGTCATCATCTCAGTCTTGCTTTCTCGATGTCCCTTCATTGGCCATCATTTTGGATGTAGATTGCTTGACTGATGGAGTCACCACCACCTTCAGTTTTACAGACAGCCTTAGTTACTCTAGGGGTTGTTATAGCAATCACATATTTATAGTTACCTTGGGAATGGAGGTACCAAGATGCTCTCGTGAATGCCCTGGGATCCAGACATAACCCTTGCCCTCAACTGTGCAGCAGTAACACTATCCTTGTAATCACATGTCAGTGCTGCCAATCACAAACTGAGCTGCTGAAGGGTGTTGTTTTTTGTTTTTTTGTTTTTTTGTTTTTTTTTTTTTTACTTTGACTTTCCCACATGACCTGGATATGGTTGAGGTATTTATCAGATTACCCCCACAGTGAATCGGAGTATCTTATTCATCAAAACCTAAATTGGGCCAGTGAGATGGCTCAGGGTAAGGGCTCTTGCCATCAAGACTGATGATGTAACTTAAATCTCTGGAACTCGCATTGTGGAAGGAGAGAACCAAGTCCTACAAAATCTGTACATGTGAGATGCAGCATACCACCTTCCTACAAACACAAATAAATGTAAAAGAAAAACCTAAATGTGGGATCAGGAATGGAGCTCAGTGGTAGAATGCTTGCCCAGCATGTGTTTGGTTTTGTTATTTGGGATCTGGGTTTCATATCTAGCTCTGGGAAGAAGTGAAAAGTAACTCCAAAAAATTGTAGAGAAAGAAAGCACATATTCCATCCCACCAGTTAGTCACTAGGAGGGCAAGAAGGACCAGTTCTACTGTTGGTCCCCCCACTCATGAAGGCTGGCTGTGGCACTGTTTATGACCATTGGTTCGGCGCATTGACTACATGGTGAACCCTGTGCTTCAACCTTTTAGGATGCTGTCAGCAAGCTGATACTGTAGCTAACTGTAGTTGGTTGTTTTTGCTCTTTTGGGGGCCCACCACCCAGCTCCCAAATAAATCACACATGGGTGCTTATTCTTAATTGTAAATGCTCAGCCTTGGCTTGGCTTGTTTCCTGCCAGCTTTTCTTATACTGTCTCCCTTTTGCCTCTGGGCTTTTTCCTTTTCTTATTTCTGGGTATCTTCCTTTCATTCTTACTCTGTGACTGGCTGTGTGGCTGGGTGACTGGCCCCTGATGTCCTCCTTGCTCTCTTGATCTCCCCTCCCAGATTTCTGCTCCTATTTATTCTCTCTGCCTGCCAGTCCCACCTATCCTTTCTCCTGCCTCGCTATTGGCTGTTCAGCTCTTTATTAGATGATCAGATGTTTTAGGCAGGCAAAGTAACACAGCTTCACAGAGATAAATAAATGCAACATAAAAGAATGCAACACCTCTTTGCATCATTAAACAGATGTTCCACAGCATAAATGAACATAATACATCTTAAAATAATAGTCTACAGCTAACCTTTAATAGGTTTTGCTACTGTTCACTTACATCCTAGAGATGTTAATGCCCACCTTACCACACACCTTAGTGCTTCTAACTGCAGATCACAGTGAGCAGCTTTGTCTGAATAGATTGGGTTTTATAGTGAAAACTAGCTGCTTTTGGAGCAGAACTGTTTGCTGTCACAGAGGATATTGCCATGCTCGAGAGCCTTAGGGGTCTTCACTGCAGTGATTGCCGGGGTCCTGCAGAAGAAAGACCCCAAGCTTCACGCTTATGTACCATATGTACCTAGGAAATAGGCTCAATTGTGTTAGAGACATAATTGGCAGCATTGACAACTGCTGGCCCTGTTGCCTGAATCTGCTGCAGAGCTCAATCCCAGAACCCATGTAAAAAGCCAGATGCAGTGAAATGCTTGTAGTCCCGGCTCTGAGGAGGCAGAGTCAGATCCCTGGGGCTCACCAGCCAGCTGTCCTGACCTAACCTAATCAGAACTTCTGAGCAGGTGAGAAACCCTGCCTCAAAAGCCAAGGTGATTAGCACCAACATCCAAGCCTGTTCTCTGACCTCCACATCCATAACACTCCTGTGCATGTGCCATCTGCACACAAATATGTGCAAGAGAACAAGGAGAGATGGACGTAGGGGCCAGCCACCCAGCTAGCCAGCCAGCCATGGAGTAAGAGTGAAAGTAAGATTACAGAAGTAAGAAAGGAAAAATCCCAGAGGCAAAAGGTAGACAGGATAATTTAAAGTTAAGAAAAACTGCCTAGCAACAAGCCAAGTGAAGGCCGAGCATTTATAATTAAGAATAAGCCTCTGTGTGTGATTTATTTGGGAGCTGGGTGGTGGGCCCCCCAAAAGAGCAAAAACAACCAACAACATTTTGATGTTCCAACATGGGGCCATAGAAAGCTGAACAATACATATTGTAGTACACACACACACACACACACACACACACACACACACACACACACGGATTATTATGGGCACTAGAGTAATAAACAGCCCAATCAGTAAGCAAACAGGAGTCTTGGGTCAGAAGCCACAGAAGGTGTGAGAAACAATTCAGAGGAGCGAGCCTGGTAGACACATGAAGTAGCTGTGTGCCCTGACAGAAAGTTCAAATGAAGCAGCATGCATTTCTGCAAAATGGGTCTGCGAGCCTGTTTAGCCCTATAGCTGCGAGTAGGATTTAAACGTCTGAGCCATGCGACTGCCATCCTCCATGTGGTGTCATTCCTAATTTGTCCGTGCCTCCCTCCACCACAGCAACACTCTGTCTCTGCCTCCTCATAGTGCTCCTCCCTCAATTTCCTTCAGTGCTGGGAACTGAACTAGCACCTTTGCACACTCTAAGCAAGGACTCTAACACTAAGTTCTGTCTACAACCCCACACCTTTTTACTTTTTAATGTGACAGGAGTCTCATTGGTCTTGAAATTGCAATCATCTTGCTCAGCCTCTTGAGTAGTCTGGATTACAGGCCTGAGCTATCAGAATAGGCTACTATTCCTCATTTTTGTTTTGGTAATTCTGGACTTGAACCCAGAGCCTAAACATGCAAGAAAAACACAGAGCTATGTTCCCAGCCCCAAAGCTCTCCACCTCCTCCCCTCTCTCTTGACAGGGTCTGACTATGCAGTCCAGTCTGGACCCAAACTTGAGATTTTCCTGCCTCTGCCTCCCACATGATAGGATTAACACCATGGCCATGGAGCTATTGTATTTAATTGTTCTCTAGAGCATAACAAACTATGTTGCCTTGTTCTTATTTTATCAGATAGCAAAAAAGGAAGAAATTCTACCTTGACCTCTGGTTTTCTTTTATCGATAACTTCAGTATGTTATTTGATGATTCAAATGTATCAGTCTATTATTAGATAATTAGAAATTACTCAAGTAAAAGAATAAAATAAGAAGCACTCCTTATTCCATTTCATGTGTTGATTTTTTTTTTTTTTTTGTGTGTGTGTGTATCTTGCTGTGGTGGTTTTAATAGGTATGGCACTCATAGACTCATGTGTTTGGTTGCTTGGTCCATAGGAAGTGGCACTATTAAGAGGTGTGGCCTTGTTGGAGGAAATGTGTCACTGTTGTGAGGTCTCACATATGTTCAAGCTACATCCAGTACACAGTCTCTTCCTG